GCCTTCTGTCTCATCCTTCTGTTTAAGCTCATTCTATCTAGTGTAGTAACGCCTTCTGTCTCATCCTTCTGTTTAAGCTCATTCTATCTAGTGTAGTAACGCCTTCTGTCTCATCCTTCTGTTTAAGCTCATTCTATCTAGTGTAGTAACAATTTCTATCGCATCCTTCTGTTTAAGGTTATTCTATCTAGTGTAGTAACTATTTCTATGTCATCCTTCTGTTTAAGCTCATTCTGTCTAGTGTAGTAACAATTTCTATCTCATCCTTCTGTTAAGCTCATTCTATCTAGTGTAGTAACGTCTTCTGTCTCATCCTTCTGTTTAAGCTCATCCTGTCTAGTGTAGGGAGTTCTTCTGTTTCACCCTTCTATTTAAGCCCATCCTGTCTAATATAGTAGCTTCTTTAACTGTTGCTGTTCCACATGTCTACTACTGTAGTTCACAGAGACTCACCGACTGCTGTTCTGACTAAACTGCTACTTTGAACCTCTACTGCCTAATTCTTCAGTTAGCGTCGCCCTTTTTAGTGTAGTGGCTTCTTCAGTTTATACCGTTCCGCATTTCTGTTTTAGTCTTCTTCTTCACTTCCTCTTTTACCGCTGTGGGTGTCGAGGGAGATATAAGGTTCTGTTTCTAGCTCTTCTGGCCGCCTCGACCATCTTCTTCTTCTTCACTTCCTCTTTTACCGCTGTGGGTGTCGAGGGAGATATAAGGTTCTGTTTCTAGCTCTTCTGGCTGCCTCGACCATCTTCTTCTTCTTCACTTCCTCTATTACCGCTGTGGGTGTCGAGGGAGATATAAGGTCCTGTTTCTAGCTCTTCTGGCCGCCTCGACCATAGGCACATCGTGCTGTTGTAGAGTTTCTCTGATGTTATCCTTCCATTTTGTTCTTGGTCTACCTCGTGCTCTACGTCTGTTTTAGTCTACGCAGACAAAATATGCTGTTGCTTTAAAGCAGTCGTTTCCAATTAAATAAGCCCCCCCCCCTTTCCTCCCCGACCCCTTTATTTTCGAAAGCCTGTCCTGGAACCTACTCGGGCATCCTTCTAGTGAAAAGTAAACAGCAAAGAAGGAGCCGCGTTAGCGCAGTCGACAGGAGACTCGCTTTCAAATCTAGCTGCCACTCGCTGCAGCCCACGGCCGGTGTTTGAAACTGGGCGGTTCCCGGGGCGCACCCAGCCTCTAGGTAATGGGTACCAGAGTTAACACTCTGGAGTAAATTAAGTAACGTCGCTGTAGCTACGGAGGTTCGTGCGGACAACAACACAGGCGGAGAGTTTCTTATCAGCTGTCCTTACTGGTGGCAGAGCACTTATGGTTTATAACCGTGTACAATGACGCCGGTTCACATCTCCCGACTTTACATTCTAGTGAAAATTCCTCACTCTATTGTTTCTGCTAGTATAAATAGAAAACATTCACTGATTTGTGGTTGTCAACAAAAGGCATTACTCTACTGTTTTTTTTTTGTTACCTTGTAAACAGGCACTACAATATTATTATATTTCCCAGTCATTGAGGACAAAAATGCAATGCTTGCTTTTTTTTTTTTTTGTATTCAGCGAAGAGACAATGTATCATTCTTTGTTCTTTCTGTTTAGCTAAAAAAAAAAAAAAAACAATAACACATTTCTCCGTCTATTATTATATTTGTTTTGCAATAAAGGTGTTGTGTAAAGATCCTTTGTCTGGCTTAGTTTTTCTTTTTATGTCTTCAGTTTTCGGTCAGTTTCTTGAACGAATTTTGTTTTAATTTCTTCGTTGAATTTGCATTGTTTCAGTTTATTTGCATTTCTTTATTGGTATACCCCAGTAACATGTGGGCGTCCATTTCTCTTTAGCCAGGTAAGATGGCATCAGATCTGTTTCCATAAATTTGTTTCGCTTGTTCACATTTGCAAACAAATTTCGTTGTAGTTTTTTTTTTCTCTTGTGTTATTTTGCCAGTCTTTGTTATTCTCGTTAGTGTTGGCAAACATAAACCCTTTCTTACGGTTGTTTTGTATTATTGTTTTAAGTAACACATTTTATTATTTTTCTTTTTTCATCTGGTTCTTTCTCTTGTTATTGTTTTTATTGTTATTGTAGGTGATATTCTCCTTATTTCCATTATTTTCCACTCCCTCTCATCTTCGATCTTTGTTTTCCATTTCTGACTCGTTGTTCTTTTCGCCGCCGCCTCCTCAAATTTTTTCTTCCATCTGTAGTTTGCTGTGGTGCCACTATGCATACCATCTAAAGAAAATGACCCTCTGCTCTAGATTCTCACCAGGATATGCAAGTGGTGACGTCTAGGATGATTGTCCAGTCTATCATCGATCCAACATTTTATTCCGTACTTCCTCTGCCCCGTCACTTCCCCGTCACCTCACTATTACCTTCCATTCTAGTTTACGTCATCAGATCGTGTCCAGACCGACAACGAAACTTCTAGGCTTTGGCCGATGGATGCACGGCTCCTCGTCTGTTTGTTTCCGTACAAAGGTGGTTTTTCCGTGTTTCACTTTACCCGTCTGAACACGTTACCTCTAGATTTTGAAACTCAAATCTAGGGTCGCTTGTTGATTATATCATTGCCGTCAAGCAATTTTGCCGAGCGGCTCAGGCGACCATGTTCCTGCAGAGACTTGGTCCTGGATATTCTCGGTAAAGTCGATCACTGCCAGGGTTCCACACACCTCTGCCAGTTCATCCTTCATATTCTGCGCTTCCATCGACCTCTGTCACTATCACCCTCGACTCTGCTGTTGACCGTCTCCATACCTCCTCGTCTCCGGACTTGACCACCAACATGATCACAGACTTGTCCTGATATGGCGCTCCAAATCTGTGTGAATTGTCTGTAACATTTCTTTGATCTCCAGATGTGTGTGAATTGTCCCTAACATTTCTCTGATCTCCAAATGTTTGTGAATTGTCCCTAACACTTCTCTGATCTCCAGATGTCTGTGAATTGTCCCTAACATTTCTATGATCTCCAAATGTTTGTGAATTGTCTGTAACATTTCTCTGATCTCCAAATGTTTGTGAATTGTCTGCAACATTTCTCTGATCTCCAAATGTCTGTGAATTGTCCCTAACATTTCTCTGATCTCCAGATGTGTGTGAATTGTCCCTAACATTTCTCTGATCTCCAGATGTCTGTGAATTGTCCCTAACATTTCTCTGATCTCCAAATGTTTGTGAATTGTCTGTAACATTTCTCTGATCTCCAAATGTCTGTGAATTGTCCCTAACATTTCTCTGATCTCCAGATGTGTGTGAATTGTCCCTAACATTTCTCTGATCTCCAGATGTCCGCGAATTGTCCCTAACATTTCTCTGATCTCCAAATATCTGCGAATTGTCCCTAACATTTCTCTGATGTTTCTTCTTAGTCGCCGGGCTGTTTGTATACCAGAACTATTCATCTCAGCTCAGACAGGGTCGAACATGTTGACAATGGGAAACCTCGCGGGCAGGGAACTTGAGCTCCAGTAAAGAAATATCACAAGTACAATACAGCTGGCAATGATCCGCGGGCCTCTTGCTAGGCCTCTGCTGGCCAGATTCGGCCTGTGGGCCGACGAGTAGCGCTGATGTATTCAATGAATAACTGCCATGTCTCCCGCCTTCAGTTTACTACCTGGACTACATGTGTTTAATATTCCCTTCCCAGAGCTCCATTTTGAAGCAGAAAAGAATCGACCCACTACCCTCTACAAGCATGCCGTAAAGGACACTAATTTTGTGTTTGATGAAATGTGATATGTTGGGTCCAAAGGCGCAGACATGACAGCATAGTTGTAAATCACAACACTGTAAGCCAACCGCCCTTTAACACGCAAAGGCATCAGAATCTTTTTTTGATTTTTTTTCTTTGTCTAATTCCTGTAACTTTACCTGTTGGCTGTTCCTTGGATTCTTCTCATTATTATATTCTTGTTTCTTCATCTGTTGCCACCACGGGCTTCAGAAGAAAAACAAGTATATGGTTGTCAGTAGTTCTGGAAGACACATTGTGAATAATTTGATCTCAGACATAAATAGTCCTGAAGCTCCATTTCTCCTGAACTACTTTTAGCTGCTTGGTTGTTCGGCTATTTTGTTGGCTGTTTGGCTAATTGGTTAGCCTGTTGGTTGGAGGGTTGGTAAGCTTGTTGTTTGGCTTGTTGTTTGATTGGCTCTTCGGGTGGGTCTGTCTGTTCATGTTGTTTGGCTTTTTAGTTGGCACTGTTTGTTTGGCTTGCTGGTTGGTTGGATAGTTGGTTGGCTGGCTTGATACCTGCTTGGTTGTTGAGTTGATTGAGAACTCATAAGCTGGGAGCTGTTCGCCTTTGAGCTGTTCGCCTTTGAGCTGTTCGCCTTTAAGCTGTTCGCCTTTGTTCGTCTTTCCTCCGATCATGGTTTGCCATTCCTGAACTCCATCATAGGTTATGACAAGGACTTTGCTTCTGTGGTTGTGCCAGCCACTCGAGTTCATCTTATATGTTTTTCATGTGAAACATGACGCTAATAAAGTGGGACATACACATAATCAATTAATAAACAGGAGGAGAAATTTATGCAGTGAATAAACTGTGAGAGACATATGACCAAACCTGGAGAGAAAAACTGATCAATTTTTATAAGGAACTCTAGATAGTGAACAATTCTGTCCTAAAGGATTCGAAGTCCCTCCTCAGAAAACTGTAGGGATTGTTTCTGGACGGTATCAAGAATTAGGCTGGGCGAGTCAAGTAGAAGTCATAGAGCAGCTATACTGAACATTCCTTACAGACAATCTTCAATTGTAGGATGCGACGTGATGATGATGATGATGATGATGATGACGACGATGATAATGCTGACGATGATATCTGATAAAGGTTCGGTTTAATTTATGCACACACACACAAACATTTATTAATGGTGACAAACCAAACTAAAGAAAATACTCTATGACAGATTCATTTTCCATATAAAGTCATTTCGATACACACATGAATGTTCATTTTTCAGTTATTATATTTATTTCCTAGAGACAACTCCGATGAAGAGAATGACGAAAAAGACACAACAGACTTTGACCTTTCCGCTCCGGACATTGAACAGGCAGCTATCAAAATCCAAGCTGGGTTCAAAGGTTACAAGGCCAGACAAGAATTGGCATCGCAGAATCAACGAGCAGAAGAAGTAAGGTCCAATTTGTGTGTGTCTTCAGTAATGTACTGGCTTACTCATCAATCAGTTTCCAGAGCATCCCAGTGCAGCATGTATATCTTGTTGTCTAGGGAACAAACAACATCAACAGGTGCCGGCACTCACCCCAGAGTGTATAGAAAAGGTGCCGGTACTCAACACAAAATGTCTATTATGTAGTACTGGGAAATGACGCATTAAACATGTGTCGATACTGCACACTGCTGTGTACTGCCAGAAACAGAGGGGCTGAGTTTGATCATATAAAACATACATTCTAGGGCATCTTTCCAAGCTCCAACATTGGTCACGAGAATTTGTTTCTTGAAGAAAAACTTGTTAAAGCTTACATTGGCACCTCCTAATTACTTACGTTGCCTGCTGGTCTAAAACTTTCAGGTTCGATTCCTCTTTTCGAATTGACTTGGGTCTTCAGGTCGACCTGTCTGAACTGGTTATCAGGGCATGTCATGGGAAGTAAAAGTGGCCGGCGTAATGTTGACTACATCAGGCGTGTCGCCACAAAGAAAACGTTGGCTTAGTCATTAATCTCCTCCAGAAACTTGCTAGGGGCGTGGGAGGGGCTTAAGTCTTGATTAATTGTGTAATATTATTAATAATATTATTATTAATAATAATGATAATAACAACAATAATTAGTTACTTTCATTGCGACCTGTATTTGCCATTTTTGCGATGTAAGCAGGATTAAGGGGGGGGGGGTGGGGGGGGGGTGGGATGAGTGTTCTTTGAGCTGAAAATTTACAACCACATGGCTAGTGTTGTGGCGTAGAGAGGGGCCAGGGGTCTGAGTGGTCTCGAGGCATGGCGTCCGCTTCGAGTGCTGGAGGTCCCTGGTTCAGGCCCCGCTGAAGGCTGGGCTCTTTTCACGCGGATTTCTAGTAATTTCCCCTGGTCTTTGGATAGTAAGATCGGACGCCCATGTGTATTGTTACACACGTAAAAAAATCCCTTGGCAGATAGAAATCGAAAAGAGTAGCCTAACGGCGCTGCCTGTACACAATTTGAGTTACAAAGTATTTCAGTATCCTCGTTGGTGCTTCTGTGTTTGTGCGGTGCGCTGAGATTCCTTGGCCTCAGGTATGAGTTATAAGTTGAACGGAGCACTAATGAGCTACCACCCTTGTGCTACGATTTTGATCCATTGTTTAAACATACACTTTGTTGTGGCTACAGACTGTGCCGGTTAGGATTTCATTGTTGCCACTGACAGGAAACATTCATGACCTGACGTGTAAGATTTCAATCCGGGTCTCCAGCATGAGCCTCTGCGTTGAAACTGCTGGGCCAGTCAGCAATAATGGTAACCGATTGTATTATTGTGCAGTTAAACAAAACTGAGGCCCTCTTAGTTTCCCCCACCTGTCCCCTCTAGCTTGTTTAACTGTGCAAAAATAGTAATTATCAGTAGCATGATAATTATTCCTTTTATTATAATTCGCAAAATGGCAAATAGAAATAATATATTCGAAATGTTATACACACACAAACACACACACACACACACACACACACACACACATATATATATATTCAACTACCCCTACGAAACTGTTGAACACCATCTCTTTGAGTGCCCAAAACTCAGTGAGACAAGAAGAACGCTACTCCCTCCGAGACCAGACAAGTGGAACACCTTGTACGGAGGAAAAGAACAGCTTGTGAAAACATGCAAATTCCACTACATGGCATTGGGCCAAAGGGCGAAAGCTCATGCGCCGCTGGATCGATAACAACAATATATATTCAAGGGCATGGAAAAGAATGTGTGTGGGGGTGGGGGTGGTATGTTAAACAAAATTGACCCCTTCACCTCATATTGTTTCACTTCAAGGGGCCTTAACATGCTTGAGCACCCCCCCCCCTCCCGCCCCTTCCCCTAGGTTCTGGTTTTTTTGGACTACATTACCCACTGAACGCTTATTGGTCTGTGAAAATCTAGGAATGACAGCATAACAATGCTAGCATATCAATGGCTTGACAACATTTCTTTACTTCAACTATATTTTACTATAGGAAATGTTGGGGTGTGGTAGTGGAGTAGCTCGACTCTCGACTGTCCACCCAAAGGTCTGGGGGTTAGAATCTCAGCGTGGCAAACTTTTACAAACATTGACCTTAGCTCCCTAGACTTAAACAGGAACCAGGTAAGTCTTGGGTAGTAAACGCGGCCGGCGAGATGTTGATCACATCACACAACTTTTTTTTTTTCGATTCTTGCGTCCTATTCCTGATTGTTCACTGAGATAAAGATCGTAACTGACCTTATACAACATGTAGTAATAGAAATGGCGTGACTACACCACCTCACTACAATTAGATGTACAGTATGAACCATCTGCCTGTTTAATTATTGATTCTCGCATGTTTAATGTGGGGTACATACTGATCCCTCTGGTTCATTTATTTGTTGCTAGGGTTATAGACCGGATCAAAGAAAAGTACCACTTTAATATGTATTTGTTGTTCGTCCATCATAAGTGATGAAGACTACCTTCATCCAAAGTAGTAATGATCAATGAATATGAGTACGAAGGTGGCTGATTAGTTCAGTATGAGCCAGGGAGTTCTTAAGCAGTGCGGACGACAGATGGAAGCCACAGTAAGTGTGGGATTAGCAGATGATTCTTTATAGTCTGCCTCCGTTTCTCTGCCTGTGCAACCTCCGCAGCCTGGCAGGCCGATGTACCCTGCCTGAGGAACGTACGCCATCTTTAATATACCAAGCATGTCACAAGTTTAGGTTGGCAGGAGACTGGTTGATACACACAATAGAGAGCTCATCTCTAAATACAAACTAGCTCAATTATAAACACATCTACCCAGGGCTAAATGGGCGCTGTTAGAGAATTAGTTGTACTAGTAGGCGTCGTTAGTCCTATATGCCTAAAGAGGTGAAAAAGAGTTCTTTTGCATCCTTAAAAAAAAATGTACTTAGCAATTGTCGTGGTGGTGGTAACAGTGTTAATGGTGGTGGTGGTGGTGTTGGTGGTGATAGTGGTGGTGATGGTGTTGGTGGTGATAGTGGTGGTGATGGTGTTGGTAGTGATTGGGGTGGTGATGGTGGTGGTGATGGTGGTGGTGATAGTGGTGGTGATAGTGGTGGTGATAGTGGTGGTGATGGTGGTGGTGATGTTGGTGGTGGTGATGGTGGTGATGGTGGTGGGGATGGTGGTGGTGATGTTGGTGGTGATAGTGGTGGTGATGGTGTTGGTGGTGATAGTGGTAGTGATGGTGTTGGTAGTGATTGGGGTGGTGATGGTGGTGGTGATGGTGGTGATGGTGGTGGTGATAGTGGTGGTGATGGTGGTGGTGATGTTGGTGGTGGTGATGGTGGTGGTGGTGATGGTGGTGGGGATGGTGGTGGTGATGTTGGTTGTGATGTTGTTGATGGTGATGGTGATGGTGTTGGTGGTGGTGATGGTGATGTTGTTGGTGGTGGTGTTTGTGGTGATGGTGGTGGTGTTGGTGGTAGTGATGGTGGTGGTGTTGGTGTTTGTGGTGATGGTGTTGGTGGTGGTGGTGTTAGTGGTGTTGGTGGTGATGGTGGTGATATTGTTGGTGGTGATGGTGGTGATATTGTTGGTGGTGGTGGTGTTAGTGGTGTTTGTGGTGATGGTTTTGGTGGTGGTGGTGTTAGTGGTGTTAGTGGTGTTGGTGGTGATATTGTTGGTGGTGATGGTTTTGGTGGTGGTGGTGTTAGTGGTATTGGTGTTGGTGGTGGTGATATTGTTGGTGGTGATAGTGTTGGTGGTGATGGTGTTGGTGGTGGTGGTGGTGATGGTGATGGTGTTGGTGGTGATAGTGTTGGTGGTGGTGGTGGTGGTGGTGGTTGTGATGGTGGTGGTGTTGGTGGTGGTGATGGTGTTGGTGTTTGTGGTGATGGTGGTGGTGGTGGTGGTAGTGATGGTGGTGGTGTTGGTGTTTGTGGTGATGGTGGTAGTGATGGTGGTGGTGATGGTGGTGGTGATGGTGGTAGTGATGGTGGTGGTGATAATGGTGGTGATGGTGTTGGTGATGGTGGTGGTGATGGTGGTGGTGATGGTGTTGGTGGTGGTGATGGTGTTGGTGGTGATGGTGGTGGTAGTGATGGTGTTGGTGGTGATGTTGGTGGTGATGGTGGTGGTAGTGATGGTGGTGGTGGTGATGTTGGTGGTGATGGTGGTGGTAGTGATGGTGTTGGTGGTGATGTTGGTGATGATGGTGGTGGTAGTGATGGTGGTGCTGGTAGTGGTGGTGGTAAGTGGATTATCTTACTATTGAAAAAAAAATTAATTGTCAAGGGAGGTAAATGTTGGCATATAAATGTGGTGTCTGACTTTATAATATCGTGGAAAATTTGAGAAAGATTCTTTTTTATTTGAGCAAGTTTCGCACAGCTTAGATTTGTAATTGAACAACTGTAGATAAAATCCTTCACCTGACAGCTTTATCATGGGACCAATATTACGTTGGCTATCTATCCTTATCACTGTACCATTATGACTAGTTATTCATCATTCATAGCCATATGTTAGTCAAGTGGGTTTGTTAATGAGTTACTTAGTTCTGTATCCTTTACAGGAGATAGTTATTAGATTACTCCTCGTCCTTTTTAGGATGAAATTTTTCGTTCTTTGAAGCCCTACTCTGTCTTTTGCCAGGGGCCGCAATATAGCCTGGCCATAAATATGGCCTAAAGGCTGAACACGGCTTCTGGGACCTCTCCACGGTGATCCTCAACCGCATGGTGGCACTTTGTGTCATCGGGTGTTTATGGCTTGTGTGATGTCCTGGTGGGGTAGACAGTCAGTCAGTCAGTCAGTCCTTTACAGGACATTGCAGAACCAACCCTAGCATTTTATGACTGTTGTGGTTTTTCTAGGCATATTTTATGTTCAGTAGTTTGCATGGCTGCTGAATGATCAGCTCTTGGTACCAGTGTCAAAACCAACGCAGGATAAATCATCTGCAGCTGGGATCAAACCCAGCACCTCGGCATTATGAAGCGCTTTAGCAACACCTAAGCCACAGACACTTGTTCTGTAGCTTTATAAAAATATGTGCACCAGTGACTCCCATTCATTTATTTTAGTTCTGTGTCCGTCTTTACATCACATAATTTCAACTAACCCTTTGATTTTCCTGTTGATTCTTCTGTATTAGCCAACTAACGACGAAGAGCCAGTCAAAGAGAGCAAAGACAAGCCGGAAGTGCATCAAGCTGCTGCAAAGATACAAGCTGGTTTCAGGGGCTACAAGACACGTAAAGAGTTAAAGGTACATGTTTCTACAGACTGATTTCGTATTTTCAAATGATGAAACATGTTTCCTGTTTTAACACTAACAAAATTGCATGACAAAGGAGTAAAGCATAGTCAAGCATGTCTTTGCAGCCTCTGAGGCCGAGAAAGGCGACATTACAACCAGCTGCCCATAGGAACAACCAGTAGAGGTGGCTTGGGATGGCTGCTGCACTGAAGCACTGAGCATGCATGGGAATGGCCAGAGTACAGTGATGTGGATTGTGATAACATAACCTAGCATGTCTTATCTTTGACCATTGGTCATTATGTGTGGACGTGGTTTGTTGCACGAGAAACTCTTCTCATTAACTTGGTCAGTCTCACTGGTTGATGGCATTTTTGTGAATCTCATTTAACCCTGAGTCTTATAACTGTTGAGTCTAATGTGTAAACTTTCTATGTCTACTTGATAGATTTTCTGAGTCTGATATATCTACTTTCTGCATGTGATCTATAGACTTTCTGAGTGTGATCTTGTGATCTGTAGACATTTTCCTATCTCAAGACTTTCTAAGTCTCATCTTTAGACCTTAGGATTTATAGATCGAGTGTGATCTCTAGACATTCACCTATCTCAAGATTTTCTAAGTCTGATCTTTAGACCTTATGATCTATAGATCATCTGAGTGTGATCTGTAGACATTCTATGTCTTATCCATAGACTTCTGATCTGTGGATAATTTCTAATCTATTAATTTTCTGAGTCTGACCTATAAACTTTCTGAGTCTGATCTATAGACATTTTCTTATAAACAAACATTCTAAATCTGATCTATAGACATTTTCTTATAAACAAACATTCTAAATCTGATCTATAGACATTTTCTTATGAATAAACATTCTAAATGTGGTCTATAGACATTTTCTTATGAATAAACATTCTAAATCTGATCTATAGACATTTTCTTATGAATAAACATTCTAAATCTGATCTATAGACATTTTCTTATGAATAAACATTCTAAATGTGGTCTATAGACATTTTCTAATGAATAAACATTCTAAATCTGATCTATAGACATTTTATTATGAATAAACATTCTAAATCTGATCTATAGACATTTTCTTATGAATAAACATTCTAAATCTGATCTATAGACATTTTCTTATTAATAAACATTCTAAATCTGATCTATAGATTGTTTGAGTCCTGCTGAAGAACTTATTTTACTTTATAAATATTAGAATTGTGAAAAGAATTGCATTTTGAAGTTTATGATTTTGTGATAAGTATAGCTACCTACAAATTAGAGCCTCGAACAATCTCACAGTCATGAGGGATGAACATAGGGACCTCTGAGCTGAAGCGCTGTAGAACAATTTTCGTAATACCATGGGCAGAGAAGTAAAGAAATACTGGTATCCTGAAAGATCTAAATACCTAGGAAGATTGGCTAGTAAATAGCATTTTGTCTTGGAAAATCAAAAAATCTGGCCATATCTAATGCCATAGCAGTTTTGAAAAAAAAAAAAAAAGATAACAGGAAAAGAGTAATAGCAGAAAGTATAGTACCAGAAAAAGGGGACAGGAACCGACCAGCATGAAAAGGTGGGAGAGGCAGTGAGAGACTGAGTTTCTTTTAGGCAGGCTGTGATGAGAACAACGTTCTGCAAAGGACCTGCTACATAATGCTGAGATTATATTGAAGACCGCTTAAATTTTATGGACCTCCCTCGCCGGGGGGCCGCCAACTATCACATGGGAAACACAGCATTAAGTCATATAATACCATCTGTCATATCGCCTCTCATCTGCTCCTTCTCCTCCATCATGAGTTCACTGTCTTGTGAAGACTCATCTCCTGACTCCACATCCACTTCACATTCTCTGCTCCCTTGGTACTACAGGACGAGGCTCCTACCCATGAGTCACCCACACATGAGTCACCTACACATGAGTCACCCACACATGAGTCACCCACACATGAGCCGCCACCAGCAGCAGCAGCAGCTAACCAGGACAACGAAGAACTGGATGACATTGATCTCACAGACCCTGACCTTTCTAAGGCAGCCTTGAAAGTTCAGGCTGGGTTCCGGGGGTTAAAGTCCAGGAAGGAACTTCAGATGAAAAAGGTTTACATTCACAATTTTGGGCTTTTCATATTCTTCACATTGTCATGTTTTTTTAAATTCACTGTTATGTTTTATATGTGAGAGCACATTGTAAAATTATCACATTTATGTAATTTTGTTGTTGTTGTAACTCTGGATCTGAAATGACTGAATATGTGTAACCACTCACTAAATCTTTGAATCTGCTGTTCTGCGATCTTCATTCAGTGTGACCTCATGTTATGAGCTATTTTTCTAATCATGGATAGTTCTGTGCATTCCACTGTTATTTCTGTGCACTTATCTTACAGTATTTGCTGCTGCCTGAGGAGAATTGATACGTTGATTTTCTGGCTTTTTCCGTCTTTCCAGATGATAGTGTTATGTCGCTCTATGAGGAGGCATCAAACTCACAAACCATGGTGATTGACAAGTGGGACAAGTAAGACCCGCCCACATTAAAAAAAAAAATGTCTTCTACAATTAAAAAATGGGATTTGAGGACCATTACTGTCAAGATTTGTGTTCAGTCTGTTTCTTCTCAGATGCTCAGCTCTCATCCCTTCTGCAACCATTTCTTCCTTCATTCTCATTCCTTTCCTGATGCCCCATCCACACAACACGGTCCATGGCATTTTGTTCCCATGAGTCCATCTCAATACCTGTATCATTCATACCCAGCTTGCACACGTGTTTATACCATAGTAGAGGTCAGCCTCAACATTTTCTACCTGTGTTTTATTCACCATGAATATGTCCTTAGGGAGTCCTCAATTCTCCAGGTGTGGCCCAGTCACCCGAGCCTCCATAAACTCACCATTTAGAAGACTATTGTAATACCTGCTCTTTCCAACAGTGTTTGTGATCTTGTCCTGCCACTTAATGCCAAGTATTCTTCTTAGGCATCACAATTTTCAGATTAACTGCTTTTATAAAAGCACCAACCTAGATCTCGGAGAAGGAACTAAACATATTTCTGTGAATTTAATAGACAACAACTGTGGCACTGGATAGGACAAACGTTGAAAATTATTTTGCAGTGGAACCCACAGGGCAAAATAGATAAAGGGTAACATCATATTTGCAGAGCAGCATACTAGGATACAGTTGGGTTATTCTTCAATGCAAAACTCACGAAATGCAGAACTAGTAGGCCTTATGCAATACTAAATGTGCAACTGCTGATTTGTTGTCACTTTTGCTACCATTTATGATTACCTATTTGGTTTCAGGAAAGGAAACAGTTGCACATGTGCACTTTTTAAACTAAGACAAGTTTGCAAGAAAACATTTGAAAATGGCAGTGAACTGAATATTGTGTTTGTAGATTAACTCTTTAAGTCCCAGGGAACGCATCATACGTTCATAGATTCCTACCTAGAAGCCCAATGAACGCATGATACATCAATTTTACTCTCTCTTTACTACCCATTAGGCCTGTGATGCTAAACCCCCTGAGACTCAAAGAGTTAAGAAAAGGCTTTTGATAGAGTAGATAGAAATTAACTATTGGCTATTCCTGAGGATTATGGGATACAAGGACAGATAACATCATGGCCTTGTACCACACTTCCCAAAGCGCAGTGAAAACACAAGAAGACATGTCTGATATGTTTACATTCAATTCGGGGGTAAGGCAGGGACGTGGGCTCTCTGATTTACTATATGAACAGACAGAATGTTAAAAGTAGCTAGCTAAAAAGCAGTCGAACAGAAAATCCAGAAAATTAGGAACTTTACTTTCTGGAGGAAGAATTAGATTTATACGCCTGTTCTACAATGAGAGAAGTTGACAGTGTCTGTTCTACAATGAGAGAAGTAGACAGTGCCTGTTCTACAATGAGAGAAGTAGACAGTGTCTGTTCTACAATGAGAGAAGTAGACAGTGTCTGTTCTACAATGAGAGAAGTAGACAGTGTCTGTTCTACAATGAGAGAAGTAGACAGTGTCTGTTCTACAATGAGAGAAGTAGACAGTGTCTGTTCTACAATGAGAGAAGTAGACAGTGTCTGTTCTACAATTAGAGAAGTAGACAGTGTCTGTTCTACAATGAGAGAAGTAGACCGACAACATTTGAACAGGCACAGTTCAACATGCAGCAAAAATATATCGTGACAATAAATACTACTAAAACTGAAATAATGAAGATCACTAGAATGCCTAGTCCACTACAAATTGGGTTGAATATTACTTGTCTCAAGAAGTTTAAGAATTTAATATCTAGGAAGTATATTCTCAGAGGATGGGATAATGAACCTGGAAATAGAAGAATCATTCTTGATACATTTAAGCCATAAAAGCGCCACTGCATCCTAGTTTTTGCTAACCTTATGGTGCACTTGACCTAAAATAAATGTTGCACATCCTCTGTAGTCTAAACTGGTGTATCTTGTTCTTTCCTGTAACTTCAACTGTCATCTAATTAATTTTCAAATATCTACCCTGTCTGTGATTGTGAAATTGCTGTGAATAACCATAACTGTAGCTTTACGTCGCACCATGACCTATTTTTTGCTTGCACTAATTTTCATTTCAATTTCTTATGAAATGTTTTGTGCTTGCACTAGTTTTTGTTTCAACTTCTTATGAAATGTTTTTTGCTTGCACCAGTTTTTGTTTCAATTTCTTATGAAATGTTATTTGCTTGCACCAGTTTTTGTTTCAATTTCTTATGAAATGTTTTTTGCTTGCACCAGTTTTTGTTTCAATTTCTTATGAAATTTTTTGTGCTTGCACTAGTTTTATTTCAGTTTCTTATAAAATGTTTTGTGCTTGCACTAGTTTTTGTTTCAATTTCTTATTTCTTATGAAATGTTTTGTGCTTGCACTAATTTTTATTTCAGTTTCTTATGAAATGTTTTGTGCTTGCACTAGTTTTTGTTTCAATTTCTTATTAAATGTTTTGTGCTTGCACTAATTGTCCCTTGAATCTGAAATTAAATTATTGAACCTCAAATTATTCTCAGGTGAAAACTAAGAAAGATGATTTTGGAAAGCTTTGGCATTTAGGTCTCATGTAGAAAAAAAGTTAAAATTGAGAGGATCTACTTCACTTCACTTGGTTTTACCAGTAAAATCTTGGTATCTATGTACAGAACAGCTGACTAGCCGCCAGCTGCGCACAAACTATGAACTTCACACCTGCAGCGACGAACATCAGGGATCTCCATAAAAACTGCACTCATGAACATCCTGAAACAATCCCAGGATTTTCAGAACAAGATGCATATGGCTTGACCACTTTGGCATTAACACATTCATTACCATGTAAGCTGGCAGATGTGATAATTAGCCAACATTTCCTTTACGCAAGACAAGGAAAGGAGAAGATCAAAATAATGTAGCTGTCGAGAAGGAGTTGCTGCAGGTACAAGAAAAAGCAGAACAAGAATACGGAGGAGGAGGAGGAGGAGTAAAATAAGGACAAGGAGGATAAGAGAAGAAGGGAAGGAGTAAAAGAACATAATAATTGCCAGGTTATCTCTTGTTTTGTAATTTTATTTGTAAGATTTGCCGACTTTAAAGTAGCAGTACAGAGTTTGTAAGTTATTGAATTTCTCTTTTGAGAATTGGCTGCCCATGTTTTCCTGGCTCTGTAAAAGATACTACCTGGCCACTTGAGCTCTGGTCGAAGTTTTGCTTCTTTGTTTTATTCCTGTTATGTCAAGTAAACTTTGGGTTGTACCCATCTCTATATTGGCAGTCTTAGACTAGTATTTGCTGAATTAAATGTCTCTTTCAAACAGGAATTACAGAAACAACCACAAACAGAAGTACGGCAAGTTGACGAGGAGGTTGACATTGATTTAACGGACCCAGATGTAGAGAAAGCTGCAGTGAAAATTCAAGCAGGTTTCAAAGGCCTAAAAGCCAGGAAGGAGTTGACAAAGGTAGGAGCCAAGATCGTGCAAAACATTATTTAATGGTAGATTCTGCAAAAGTGGTGTGGAGTTTTAGATCTTCCTGAATACATGGTCATTAGAATTGAATCCATTATTATGAGGCATGGCTGGTATCAGAGGAGCACACAGCATCTTGATATTGATTCCCTTTTTTCCTCGATCACATTCTGGATCAACAAGTCAACTAACGACTCTCACTGCTGTTCCTTACAGTAGAACTATCATTGTTGGCATTCAGGGTGTGGTCTAGTGAGACAGACATACAGACAGACCAATCAGATGGGTAAAAGATTGTACAATGGACCAACCTACTGAAAGACAGACATATGAGCAATTAGGCATATATACAGACAAAGAGACATAATATAGACAGCAGACAGATATACAGACAGATAAACAGACAGATAGAGACAGACAGCCAGATGGATGGACAGAGAGATAAATATATAGAGATAAGGATAGACTGCCAGAAAACACATATAATTATCTCACACACACGCAAACAAAGAGAGAGAGAGAGAGAGAGACAGAGAGAGACAGAGACAGAGAGAGACAGAGAGAGACACAGAAAGAGAGACAGAGAGAGAGAAAGAGAGAGATGTACGTGTTCAGTTATATGATGCCATGCTATTGACAGGAGTGACTGTAAAGCTAGCTACTTTTACCTCCGAACAAATTTAAAGAAAAAACGTTTTTTTAAATTGTCTGCCACACTGACATTAGCTAGACAATCAAATGTGTAGTGGAATTTATGTACATCATTGTTTTGTTGGCTTGTTTCCACTGATCGGGATGTTTCCGTTTGCCTGTATTTCTTTCTACCTTGGCAATTGAGGCTGTGATATTTGGTGCTATTTTATTGGAAGCCACAGTGCCTTCACACGAGTCTTGTTTATATTTTTCATGAGCTTTAGGGCTGTGTTGCTTACATCTTGGGTGTCTGTATAGATGTCTGTCCTTCCTTGAAAATTGCTGTTTAAAAGTTTCCAGAATCTTTATGTTAACTTGAACGCATACGGTCAGACAAAGCAGACTAGGTATGGCAGTTCATTTTAGACTGCTGTTTCTTTAGGGTAACATTGACATTATTCGTTTATATTATCCTGGTTACGATTTTTAAATAGTCCTTTTAATTAAGTTTATTCTTCTTTCAAACTCTGCGCTATCAAATCCAGTCTTGATAATTATAGAAAAAGAGAGAGAAAAAAGATTATAACAGCTAAAATTAGATTATCAAAAATAGAAATAAGTGAAAACAATTATAAAATCAAAAAGTGGGGAGAGTAGCGGCACCAAATTCAAATAGAAATCATCAGAGGATGTGGTTTTGTGATGTAATTTGGATGCCAACAGACAGTATACTACAGCAAGCTTTTGTGTACAGGCTAAGTAGGATATTAAAAACAGGCCAACCAGATAAATGAGGAACAGAGGGAAAAACAGTGTTTCTGTGTATCTCCACATGTGAAGCACACCGAAACAAGGGAATGAGGGAAAAACGGTGTTTCTGTGCTTCTGCATATATGAAGCACATGAGAAGACACGCCCAAACAGCAACAGATCCAAATTGTGTGTGAGAGAAATATTGAGAGAGAGAAAGAGAGAGAGAGAGTGTGTATGTGTGTGGGTGGGGGCTTTAGCAAGTTGCTGGAGATGAAAGGGCTTAAACATTAAGTGCAAAATACATGTAATAATTATTTGGTGAATTGCAAATAAATAGGATATAAATGGAGAAAATAACTGAAACGTATATACAGCTATATAATAAGATAATGTCTATGCAATAAATGGATGTTACACCGATTCCTTACAAATGTTCTTCGGGAAAACAGTTACTGCAACTGGGAGGTTGATATCATGTGGGAAAAAGGGGGAATGAAGGGGGTAATTAGCTGGGTTAACACCATGCCATTATTTCATGAAAGGTTGAACCAAATCTTCATTCTTTGTTTGTGTGCCTCTGCATCTCTTTCCACAAACACTTCCATGTGTCACATACAACATGTTCTAGTTCTCATCTTCCCATCTGTGGCTGGAAAAATAATTTGTTTCTGAGGCTTGTGATATATTTATATTTTGAGGGGAAAAGGAAGGGGGGGGGGGGGAAGCTTTAGCTTCTGTCAAAACCTATAGCAGTGAAGCTAATTGAGAATCATATTTTATAAGAGACTTGAATATACAAATTTCCTTGTTTTTTTAACTTCAAACAGTGTGTGCGCAAACCTTGATTGTGCCTTTTCTTTACAGAAAACAGAGGCAAAAGATGAAGACGAAGGAAAGAAATCTCCAGAAAGAGATGTTGGACGTGACATTGATCTGACTGAGGCTGAAAAAGCAGCTATTAAAATCCAGGCAGGGTACAGGGGATACAGGACACGCAAGTCCTTGAAGCCAGCCACAGACAGTCCAGGACAAGAGGCTGCAGATGATAAATACAGCAATGCTGAGAAAGATGTCGACACGGCCTCCACAGCAGCAGCAGCAGACGATAACAACGAAGAAATTGACATTGACTTGACAGACCCTGAAGTTGAGAAAGCCACACTCAAGCTCCAGGCTGGGTTTAAAGGACTGAAAGCCAGAAAGAAGATGCAAGAGGAAGCAGAAGCGCTAAAGGCGCAAGAAGAACCACCAGAAAAGGATGACAATCAGAATAATGAAGCAGGGTCTGTTTCTGAAGATCCTAATGAAGTTCCTTTGGATCCCTTTGTTGAAGTGTCTGAGGAAATGATTGAGGGAAATCTTTCAAAGCAGGATCGTATCGACAATCATTCAGGGCCTGACCCAGAAAAGGCTGCCGCGAAGATTCAGGCAGGGTTTCGAGGAATGAAGACACGGAGAGAGATCAAGGCCATCCGAGAAAGCAGGAAGGAAGTGGAGCAGAAGCATCAGGACGCAGAGGATGGTGAAGAAGAAACCGAGCATAATTTTGAGGAGGAACCAGATGAAATGTAGCAAAAGCATTTTACTGATTTTATTTTATGATTTGCTGTTTTAATATTATTATCATTTAAGCGGACAATTAGGGATTGTCCCTTTAATGTTTCCTAGACATAGAACAAATATAAGGCTTCCATAGATAAATATGATCACCTTATACGATGACTTTCTCTGCTTGTCTGTATGTGTATACTTGGTTTTACCTGAATATATGTATGTCTGTATGTGTATACATGGTTTTACCTGAATAAATGTATGTCTGTATGCGTCTATGTGTGTGTGTGTTTGTGTGTGTGTGTTTGTGTCTATAAGATAAAAATCATCTTCGTCTGTTATAAGAATTATTTGGTATATGAATTCGGTCCAGCATTTTTAGGCCAGCAGCATTTGAACAGTCATATGGTTAAAATAACACTTGTTCTCTTCAGTTGTCTTGAAATTTCAATATTCTTATTTTACACTGGGCCAGAGCCTAAGTAAAAAAAACAAAAAAAACAACCCCCCCTACCCAAAAGGGATGTGAACACATAACCTTGAAGGTACCAGGCAAACAGAAAGCCACTGATCTATTGAACATAATAAATGCCATCTGCGATATTCTGATTATACTGCTTGCATCACTGAAAATGACACATGATAACAAGAAATGATAGATACAACCAAGAGCTGTTAACTAAGAAATAAAGTGTATGTGCATTGCTCATCACAAAGTTTCCAAACAAAATTGTCACAACCCGTCACAGAGTGTCTGTTACAGCAGTGCTTTCTTGGTTGACCGACTGTGCCAACAGTGAGCTGCAATTCTGGTGTAGGACTGTTAGTATTGGTACATCTGACAGCTGCCTTATGCATTTATGCTTTGCGAGTGCAAACGTTAAATTTTGCTACAGCTGATACTAGTTTTAAAATGGGACAGTAAAGAATATTTTGTGTGTTCTTCCACTGGCATAGGAATGGAGCAGTTGGTGGAAGGGGGAGGGGGTTCCCATGTACAGCAATTTTGGAGCCTTTATTAACTAATTAATGTAATGCCTACAAAAATAGGTGTCTGTACTGCGTACAGCTGCGTACCACCAAAACAAAAATATCCTGCATGTAAAAGAGAGTAAAAACAGCGTTCTTAGATTCATCATCATCAGGTGCCTTGCCGACTGGCGTGGGCGATCATGCCTCTCCATAATCTGCGATCTCCTGCAGCATGTATCAGTTCGTGTGCCGACACACTTCCATATCATGCAACAAAAGTGTCAAGCATCTTCTCTCATTGTCTTCCTCTATCCCTCCTTCCACAGATCTTTTCAGTGGTCACTACATGTTCTATTTTCCCTCTTCTCATAATATGTGATAAGTTGTCTTCAGGCTCCCGACTCTTTCAAAACCTCTTGGTTGCTCTTTTTGGCTATCCAAGATCTTAGTTTGTACATGTAAAAGCACAAACCTGTTAATTATAATGAACACATTTCCTACAAAAGACAAACTCAAGCTGAATTATACTAGTCTGAATTAAGATAATGTGTGTAAGCATTTCGGTATTTTCCTGGGCAATGTATTAAAACAGTTAAATGTATAAAGGTCCGTGTGCAACCAGCATTTTGCTGGATGATACTCAGAAATGAATCATGGACAGTTTGTGGGTCAGTGAAAACTGCTGTGGGTGAAAACAAAATTCAGAAGAAATGTGAGAACTCTGGGAACGATCATAACCTCATGAAGGATTCTTTAAAGAATGTAATGTACCCAGAGAACAACTTACATACATCACAAGAAGGACATCTATCTTCTCTGGGAACTTGACTAGAATTAAACGACCAAACACTGGGATAACAGAACAAGGGAGGGAAAGAACGGCAGGCTATGTCTAAGTCTGATGCCATTTGGTCAGTGATGTCCGATGTCTTTTGTGTGGTGCCCTCTCTCCCCCATCCTCGAGAATAGGACAAGACCCTACGCACCCCTCCCCCAAGAATAGGGCAAGACACTACGCACCCCTCCCCTTCCCCCGACAATAGGGCAAGACATTACACACACCTCCCCTTCCCCCGACAATAGGGCAAGACCCTACGCACCCCTCCCCCAAGAATAGGGCAAGACACTACGCACCCCTCCTACACCCCCAACAATAGGACAAGACACTACGCACCCCTCCTACACCCCGACAATAGGGCAAGACACTACGCACCCCTCCTACACCCCCGACAATAGGACAAGACACTACACACTCCTCCTACACCCCGACAATAGGGCAAGACACTACGCACCCCTCCTACACCCCCGACAATAGGACAAGACACTACGCACCCCTGCTACACCCCCGACAATAGGGCAAGACACTACACACCCCTCCTACACCCCCGACAATAGGACAAGACACTACACACCCCTCCTACACCCCGACAATAGGGCAAGACACTACGCACCCCTCCTACACCCCCGACAATAGGACAAGACACTACACACTCCTCCTACACCCCGACAATAGGACAAGACACTACACACTCCTCCTACACCCCGACAATAGGACAAGACACTACACACTCCTCCTACACCCCGACAATAGGGCAAGACACTACGCACCCCTCCTACACCCCCGACAATAGGACAAGACACTACACACCCCTCCCCTTCCCCCGACAATAGGACAAGACACTACGCACCCCTCCTACACCCCCGACAATAGAACTACAAGACCCCCACTACGCACCCCTCCCCTTCCCCCGACAATAGGGCAAGACACTACACACTCCTCCTACACCCCCGACAATAGGGCAAGACACTACGCACCCCTCCTACACCCCCCCCCACAATAGGACAAGACACTACACACCCCTCCTACACCCCCCCCCCCCACAATAGGGCAAGACACTACACACCCCTCCTACACCCCCACACCCCTCCTACACCCCTAGGAACCCCCCCCCACAATAGGACAAGACACTACACACCCCTCCTACACCCCCCCCCCCCACAATAGGCAAGACACTACACACCCCTCCTACACACCCCCCCCCCACAATAGGACAAGGACACACACTACACCCCCCCCCACACCCACCTGGCGCAGACACTACACACACCCCTCCTACACCCCCCCCCCCCACAATAGGGCAAGACACTACACACCCCTCCTACACCACCCCCCCCCCACAATAGAATCCCTACAGACACTACACACCCCTCCTACACCCCCCCCCCACAATAGGACAAGACACTACACACACCCCTCCTACACCCCCCCCCCCCACAATAGGACAAGACAACTACACACCCCTCCTACAACCCCCCCCCCACAATAGGGCAAGACACTAACACACCCCTCCTACCCCCCCCCCACAATAGGACAGACACTACACACCCCTCACTACCCCCCCCACTACCACACACCTACACCCCCCCCCACAATAGGACAAGACACTACACACCCCTCCTACACCCCCCCACACCCTAGGAAAGACACTACACCCCCCCCCCCCCCCACAATAGGGCAAGACACTACACAACCCCTCCTACACCCCCCCCCCACAATAGGACAAGACAACTACTACACACCCCTCCTACACACCCCCCCCCACAATAGGACAAGACACTACACACCCCTCCTACACTCCTACACCTACACCCCCCCCCCACAATAGGGCAAAGACACTACACACCCCCACCTACACCCCCCCCCTACAATAGGACAAGACAACTACAACACCCCTCCTACAGCCCCCACACCCCTCCTACACCCCCCCCCCACAATAGGGCAAGACACTACAACACCCCTCCTACACCCCCCCCCCCACAATAGACAAGACACTAACACACCCCTCCAATACACAAGGACCACACCCCTCCTACACCCCCCCCCCCACACAATAGGACAAGACACTTACACACCCCTCCTAACACCCCCCCCCCACAATAGGACAAGACACTACAACACACCCCTCCACACCCTCCTACACCCCCACACCCCTCCAACACACCCCCCCCACAATAGGACAAGACACTACAACACCCCTACCTACAACCCCCCCCCCCCACAATAGGACAAGACACTACACACCCCTCCTACCCCCACCCCCTCCAACCCCCCCCCACAATAGGACAAGACACTACACACCCCCCTACACCCCCCCCCCACCATAAGATACAAGACACCACCCCCCCACACCCCCCCCACCCCCCAATAGGACAAACACTACACACCCCTCCTACACCCCCCCCCGACAATAGGACAAACAACACTACACACACCCCCCCCCCCCCCCCCCCTCCTACACCCCCCCCCCCACAATACCCCCCCCCCCCCCCCCCCCCCCCCCCCCCCCCCACAAGACACTACACACCCCTCCTACCCCCACACCCCTCCTAACATAGGACAAGCCCCTACACACCCCTCCTACACCCCACACCCCTCCTACACCCCCCCAAACCCCCACAATAGGGCAAAGACACTACACACCCCCTCCTAACCCCCCCCACAATAGGACAAGACACTACACACCCCGATCCTACACCCCCCCCCCCCACAATAGGACAAGACACTACACACCCCTCCTACAACCCCCCCCCCCACAATAGGACAAGACACTACACACCCCTCCTACACCCCCCCCCCCACAATAGGACAAGACACTACACACCCCTCACTACACCCCCCCCCCACTAGGATAGCCAACACTAACCACCACACCCCCTCAATCGGACAAGACCCCACACCCCTCCTACACCCCCCCCCCACAATAGGACAAGACACTACACACCCCTCCTACACCCCCCCCCCCACAATAGGGCAAGACACTACACACCCCTCCTACACCCCCCCCCACAATAGGGCAAGACACTACACACCCTTCCTACACCCCCCCCCCACAATAGGACAAGACACTACACACCCCTCCTACACCCCCCCCCCACAATAGGACAAGACACTACAACACCCCTCCTACACCCCACCCCACAATAGGACAAGACACTACACAATACTACCCCTCCTACACCCCCACACCCCCTACTCCCCCCCCCCAAAC